GGCTTTTCGCTTATCATTCGTCTGTATATCCCCTTCTATGTAACGTTGTCACATAGCTGCAATGTCCTCTGTCAGTAAAGGTGTGGGACGCTAAGTCAAATCCTCTCTCCCAAAATTTGTGTGCGTCGGCCATCATTTTCATTGTCTGCACCAGGCTACTAGACAAATACTGGTTATAGGCCGCAACTGCAGGTCCTATCCAGGATGTTATTTCGCATGAGCCTGACCAAAGGGGGCATCATGCCTACTGCTGGTTGCCTCCTGTCCTACCCAGGATTTCATTTCTTGTGGTCCCCATTGCCTCTGTTTTGCGAGCAATCACTCCGCCTAAACGGGATTGCGTTTCCCTCAGAGCGCCCTTTCCTTAGGGCAGTGCTAGTCATTGACAGCCTTCTCTCCGACTTCACCCTCTCACAACTGCCTGCCTGCGCCTGCCGCAACCACTGCGTCAATTTTGTCTTGATCCACCAAAGAGGTGTTTTTATAAATAATAAGAGCCTGGAGAAATGTTGTTGGACAATAATATAGACGCAGCGCTACAGTGGAAAAGTGCACTTTGATGGGAGGAGGGATGAATATATAGAGGTGGATTGAAGGGATAAGCAATGCATCGATACGCGATAGATGGATGAATAGGCTAATGGATAGATATGAGCTGGATGAGTAGTGGATGGTGGAAGGGATAAATAGATGCACACAAAATGCATGGAGAGGAGATGGAAGGTCAGACAAATGGATGGATCGGTGGATGTTAAAGTGGGTGAGAAAAGGATCCCGATTTTCTCAAAATGACTTTTTTGCAGTTCACGTGACTCCACCCTAAATAGTCGTCGCATTTTTCATCAATCTGGCAATCATTGTGCAGTTCATCTTGTCATACCCACATCCATTGACTTTGCCGCCTTCTACAGGCTCATATACACCTCCACACACAAATGTGTACCTATCCCAATCTTTATTATAATGGTTGATTTATTACACTCGCCTTCATCTGATTCCCCATTGTATTCATCACCCTCGTCTTCTTCAGTTTCCACGTCCAGTTCTGCTTTCTCGTCTTCATTCTCCTCGAATTCTCCACGGAAGGAGTAGGCAATGACTGCTAGGAAGTTGTGTTTGTGCTCTAGGGCTGAATTGAGCATTTCACCAGCTGCGAGGCATAACAAGCCTCACTCAAAAAGCCTTCACGCAAAACACATTTTCCTGGCATTTACGCCAGATGCAGTCCATGGATTCCGTCTGGAAAGTGGAGGGTTTCGTGGTCAAAATCGGGTCTTCCTGCATGTCTCGAGGCGAGTACAGAGCTAGTAGAGAATGTGGAAGCACCTCAACAAGGAAACAAACTTCACCTCAGAGAATGAGTGATTTTTGACTTTCTAGTAGGAAGAAGGCCAATCAGCGGATGTGGTAAAAGGTAAACAATGAGCATTTGAATAAAGAAGGAGTTGAAGTACGCAGTGATCAGTATTTTTTGTAGAGAATATTAACTCTTCCCTAATGCCCCTTTTTAATGGATTAAATTTTATGCATATTTCTGCCACTTCTTGGATAAGTCTAACAATAGCGTATCAGCACATCTCTACGTCAGCAATTGCTACGCATAACTTACAAAAGGCGTTGATATTTGGAGCCTTTTTCAGTGTACTCCTGCCAAATGTAGCCAATTATAGGCTGTGGA